GTCATATCTAAAGTTTGGCCTAATCCAAAATCAAAAAGTTTTATGCCTATGTCTTCTAAGATTTTTCTAGTTTTAGCTCTTATGCTCAGGTTTGGTTTACTTTTATAGTGTGTGAGGTAAAGGTCAAATTTCATTCTTTTGCATTGGACACACACTTGTCCCAGTACCATTTGTTAAAATCAATTCTAATTAAATGCTAACTTTTACAAAACCATTAAATGGTGTTAATATATTTTAGAAGGTAGAATGAAGTGAAAGATGTAAAGTTAAAATAAAAGGGACGTAAAAAAAGGGGTGTCAGGTAGAAATTTATAGCTTGAAATGCTTACATTAAAAAACTAAACTTTATAATCAATAATCTAAGTTTCATCTCAAAGAAACCAGAAAGAAGAGTGCAAATTAAAAACAAAGTAAGAATAAAGAAGGAAAAAATAAAGAGCAAAAATTAATGAAACTGAAATCAGAAAACAATAGAGAAAGCCTACGAAACCAAAAGCTGTTCCTTTGAAAACATCAATAAAACTGATAAACCATTAACTAAACTTGGTCAGCAATACATGAGAGGCACAAAACAAGACTGGTACAAAACAAGAGAGGTACAGTATTAGAAATGAAAGCTATAGTCCTAACAGACAGTAACGGAATATTATAAACAATATTATGCCAATAAAATTGGTTAGCTTGGGTGAAATGGATAGATTTCTTCAAAGACAACACTAACAAAGCTTGCTCAGGAAGAAAGGAATAATCTTATTATGGATAACTATTAAGAAATCAAATTCATAGTTAAAAATTGTACAACTAAGAACATTCCAAGAACAAATGGTTTCACTGGTAAATTCTGCTAAACATTTAAGAAAGAAATAATATAAAAACTGTTACAAAATATAACAGAAAACAGAAGAGGAGTGAATACTTCCCGACTCTATTTTATGAAGCACCATTACTCTTCCTGACTATAGAGTCATTACAAGAAAGCTACATACTATTATCTTTCATGAATACAGACACATGCAAAAACACAAAAATATAAGCAGTCCGAATCCACCATGCAAAGTTGGTTCATACTTTAAAACAATCAATCGACAAATTGTCCCAGGGTTGTTAAGGACAGCACAGGAAATATAGTCAATAATGATGAAATAACTATATATAACATCAAGGGGTATCAGGAGGATCACTTTATAAGTTATACAAATGTCTAACCACTATGCTGTACACTTCAAACTAATATAATACTGAATGTCAACTGCAATTGAAAAATAAAAAATAATAATTTTTAAAACATAACAAAAAAAAAGTCAATCAATGCAATTCAACCCTATCAACAAATTAAAGAGAAAAACCCTAAGATCATTTTAATTGATGCAGGAAAAGCACACCTAATAAAATTCAACATCCATTTACAATATAAACTTTCAGCAAACAAGGAATAGAAGGGAATGTGATCACAACCTGATAAAGGGCATTTCTGAAAAACCTACCGACTGAATGTTTTCCCCCTACGATCAGCAACAAGGCAGGGATGTCCACCATCACCACTCCTATTTAACACTGAACTTACAGCCAGTGCCATAAGGCAGGAGGGGAAAAAAAGGTATACGGACTGAAAAGGAAGAAATTAACATAAAACTGTCTTTTATTTGCTAATGATATAATGACCTGCATAGACAATCCCATAGAGAATCTGATAAAAAGCTACGAGAACTATTATGAGTTTGGCAGGCCGCAGGATACAAGGTCGATGCATAAAAACCAATCTTATTTCTGTGCACTAGCAATGAACAATAGGAAATCATAGTTTTTAAAAAATGTGTTATACAACAGGATCACAAAACATGAAATATTTAGGTACAAGTGAACAAAAGATGTGCAATAATTATATTACAAAATTACAAACTTTAGTAAGAGAAATTAAAGAAGACCTAAATAAATGTAGAAATATAACATTTTCATGAACCATGAATGAAGATGTGATGTTGTTAAAATATCAATTATCCTCAATTTGATCTCACATTCAACATAATCACAATAAAAATCCCAGCAGGCTTTTTTATTGTAACTTGTAAAAACAAGTTATATAACTTGTAATGACAACTCATTCTATAATTTATATGGATAAACAAAGCACCTAGAATATTCAAAAGAATTTTTAAGAAGATTCTAGAAACAGACCCATAGGTATATAATCGAATGATTTTTAACAAGTAACTTTACTGACATATATTTTGCACATAACTCGCCCTTCTCAAGTGTATGATTCATGATCACTTTTTGATAAAGGTATCAAACTAATTCAATGGATAAAGAATACCTTTTTCAACAAATGTTGCTGGAATGACTGGGCATCTATACATAAAAGAAACCTTCAACTCACACTTTGCAACATATATAAAAATCAACTTGAAATGCATCATAAACCTAAGTTATCTAAAACTATAAAACTTCTAGAAGCCATAGGAAGTTTTTGTGACCTTGGATTAGGCAAAAATTTTTTGGAGAGGAAACAAAAGGTATAAATCATTAAAGAAAAAAATGTTAAATTGGTTATCCAAATTAGAAAGCTCTACTCTTCAAAAGATAGAATGAACACAGAAGTTACAAACTGGGAGAGAATATTTGCAAAAACACTTACATAATAAATGATGTGTGCCCAGAATATATAAAGAACTCTCAAAACTCAATTTAAGAAATCCAAGCCAATTTTTAAATGGGGTGGGGAAGAACAGCAAATATGCACGTGAAAAGATCCCCAACATCATTAGTTTTTAGGGAAATGCAAATTAAAACCATTTAAAATAGTACTATAAACTTTTTACAATGGTTTTAAAAACAAAAACTGATACTGCCAAGTACTGACAAGAATACAGAGCACCCGGAACTCCAATGTAGTGCTAGGAATATAAAATGGTCCAGCCATTTTGAAAAATGGTTTGGGAATTTCTTACAAAATTAAGCATATGTTTACCACATAACTCGGCAATCCCACTCCTAGGTATTTACAAAAGAGAACTGAAAAAACAAATGCCCACACAAAGACCTGTACATAAATGTTTTTAGTGGCTGTGTTTATAGTAGCCAAAAACTGAAACCAAGAAAAAAGACATACGTTCTTCAATCGGTTATGAATTTTTAAAAATGTGATAAATACATACAATGGAATATACCATTCAGCAATAAAAACAATGAACTACTAACACATGCATCTAAACAGATAACTTGCAAAAGCAATGGGCTAAAAAAGAAATGGGCAATTTTTTTTCTGAAAAGGGGCGACATAATAATATTGTAGGTTTTGCAGACCATAAAGCTTCAGTCACAACTACTCAGTTATGACAGAGTAGTGTGAAACAGCCATGTACACGTGACTGCGGCTGTGTTTTAATAAAACTTTGTATTTAATTGGCAGTGGACCTGACATAGTCCACACGCAGTAACTTGCCAACCCCTGTGCTGAATCAAAGGAGAGAGACACACAAGGTTACAATATATAATTCCATTTATACGGTGATATGAAAAAGGCAAACATAATAGAGACAAAAACCAAATTAGTGGTTGCCAGGGTCTAGGGGTGAAGGCAAGGGATTAATTAAAAGGGACATAAGGCAACTTTTTGGAATAATGAAAATATTCTCTACCTTGATTGTGATGGTGGTTACATGACTGTTTGTATTTGTCAAAATCTATGTACCTATATACCCAAAAAGGGTGAATTTACTACATGCCAATTATGCTTCAATAATCCTGTCTTAGAAAGAAAGGGAGGGAGAGAGGAAACAAGCCATTCTTTGGTCCCTAATTTTTTTAAAAAACAGAATTTTTTTGAGATAATCAAAAATCAAGGAAATCTAAACACTGGATATTTGGTTATACTTTTAAAAATGTGATAATAAAAAGAAAAAACAAGATTCCTATTGAAGTTCTTACAAATGATATATTATGTGTGAGATCTATTTTATAATAGTCCAATTAATATGGGGGTAGAAATGTACTAATAATTGTTGAAGCTGGGCTGTGGGTAAATACCAGTTCATTATACTTTTATTCTTGTTACTTTTATGTATGATTGAACATTTCTACAATAGCCAAACTGGGGGGAGCAGTGGTGGAAAAAGTAAGGAAGAGATAAAAGCCATAAAATAGACATTATGCATGTAATGTCTACTGAGGTCACATAGGTAAAGAAGTGAGATAAGCCAGAGTGATAAAGTCTGAAGTTGAAAGCATTCACATTAAATTTTTGAAAAAAACATGTGCTTTCCAAATACACACACTGGCATCCTTTCTCTTAAGACCTTAAAACTACAGCCCTGGCTGGTGTAGCTCAGTGGACTGAGCTTGGGCCTGGGAATCAAGCAACCACAGTTTGATTCCCAGTCAGGGCACATGCCTGGGTTGCAGGCCAGTTCCCATCAGGGAACACACAACAGGCAACCATACGTGGATATTTCTCTCCCTCTCTCCTTCCCTTCCCCTCTAAAGATAAATAAATAAAATCTTTAAAAAAAAAAAGACCTTAAAACTATAAAGATACAGTTATACACTCACATATGCCTTTATAAACAATGCACATACAAGGTGGAAAGCTGTTAAATGTCAAATGAACTGTTTCCTAAAATCCAGAAAGCACTGGGGTATACATAATAATTATAGCCAAAACACAACAAAAACCTATATTATCTGGTTCTGGGATAGTCACTAACCAGCATTACAACCAAATCTGATTCTAATTTCACAATTTGTCTTTAGTTGTTAAGAATCATATACATAATTTAAATGAGAAAATAGGAGCAAGAAAGTGAGAGGAGATTTTTAGTAATATTATAACAGAAAATATGAGTGTATCAGGATAATAATCCCTTTTAATTAGCTAGATTGCTAAAGAACATACACTAAAATTCACATTGGAAATCATTTTAGAATACTATCTGAACTTTCTTAATCTTTTAATAGCTGAAGTGAAGACAGTATCTAAAAATAAAATAATAAATTAACTATACCCATGGTTTTCTTCATAATATTGTAGAATACGCCACCCTGTTGGAACATGTGAGGGAGCCCCTTTGCATAAGACCATACATCTTCTCCTGTAAGATAAAAACAAATACAGCATTAGCAACAAAGAAAAATATTCAACCCAGGTTTGTTTTAATACAGATTAGCCTAGAAATCACAAGGCAAAGCTGGTATAACATATAGGGAGGTGATATGGAGTGATGGGGCTATAGCATAATGGTAGTACTTATTCATTTTGTTTATCCAAGGACATTTTTTCATTGCTGTTCAAAAGCACTTTGCTTGGAGAGAGAGAAACATTGATGTGAGACAGAAGCATCAACCCGCTGCCTCCTCTACCTGCCTGGACCCTGGACCAAAAATCAGGGAACAAACCTGTAACCCAAGGCATGCGCCTTGACTGGAAAATGAATCCACCTCCTTTCAGTTTGGGGACAATGCTCCAACCAACTGAGCCACACTGGCCAGGGTGTACTTAATTTTTTTGGTAAAAATCTGAACAGTTACCAGATTAGGGAACTCCTCAGAACTGGCCACCTAAATACTGTAAGAAAAATGACATTTCTTATGTATTCACATATATAAATATATGTGTAAGTACGCAGACACATGGAATTATTGCCATTTGCAACAACATGGATGGGTCTTGCAGGTATTATGCTAAGTAAAACAGGTCAGATGGAAAGGGACAAAAATCATGACTTCACTCATATGGGGAATATAAAACAAAGTGAAGCAAACAAATAAAGCAAAACTCATAGACACATACAACAGAATGGTGGTTACCAGAATGAAAGGCGGGTAGGGAGTAGAATTGGGTAAAGGGGGTCAAATATATGGTAACAAAAGGAAACTAGACTTTTAGTGAACATACAATACAGTCTACAAATATCAAATTATCATGTTGTACATCTGAAACCTACATATTATTAACCAATTAACCCAATACATTTTAAATAAATAAGAAATAAATAAATAAATAAATAAATAAATAGGGTTTTAGTGTCAGTGCCTCTAGGATTTTTCAGTGGTGCTTAGGTGGGAACCCTCCATGCTGCTCCAATGCATATGACTCAATGCATAGACTAAAAGCTTTTCAGAGTCAGGAAAAGGTCAGTGGCCTGGCACAGTGCTGGACAGTAGCACTCAGCATTTGGTGAATGAATATATATGAATGAATTGTATAAATAAAGTTTTTCCTTTCAATAGGGCTGAAAGAAGTCCTGAAAAACCTTAATTGAAGCAGTACAATGATAACTGTTCTTCAACATTATGGATAAAATATAACCAATGGTACCATTGGTCCTCTTCATGAATCTAGTAAAACAAAATCATAGCAAAAACAAAGGTAAAAAATTTTAGACACAATTTTACAGTTATAAACTAAGTAAGTCGTGGAATGTAACATACAGTATGGTGACTATAATAATACTGAGTGTTTGAAAGCTGCTAAGATAGTAGATCTTAAAATAAGGGTAGAATTACTTTGCTACAATTTCATTAGAAAGCAAACTCTTATAGAATAGGAATAGTTGGTAAAGCATGTAGCAAATACTATATTCATTCATGTATTTTTAGTATCCAACTAATTTTACTTTAAAATTCAACTATGTCTTTACAGTACAACAGTAAAATATTTAAGTCCACCTACTGTGTGTGTTTAAATATTAAAAAAGTCTACAACAACATAGATAACTTCTGTTTACACCCTGTCTTCCTTAAATCCTTCCTCCTAATAGCCTTCGGCTCTCCTACCTGAAAAGTAGTTATACATGGCACTGATATTATGAATGGTTTTTCTTCTGGTTTAATCTGATGGTTTTCCTTTTTAACAGGAGCAAGTTGTTAATTTTAAAAAGTATATTAAAATAAAAACATTTAAAAAATGTATTCTTCTAACTTTTACTAATAATATAATCATGGGGTTAAAAGTGAGTTTCAAAGGTCATCATTCCTATTTTCTAACTTTATATATTTAAATAGGTAAATTGAAATTTCTAGTTTTATGAAGCCAGTGAATCAATTTAAAAATACAGTATATACATGAAATATATTTTTAAAGGCCCACCCCAAAATACCTAAAATTAGCTCTGAACTCAAGTATTTATGACCATATAATAACTGACCCAAAATGTAAATTTAAACCAGGAACATGGTACTATTTCCATAAGAACCCTAAAGGTATTCATTTGCTGAATAAAGAATGTCATCTCTCTATACTTCCTACAGATCCTTCTTCCATCTAAAAATGTATCTACCTTATCAATAGTCAGAACCATTTCTAAAAAAGACATGCCTGTTTCCTTTACTCAATCTTTTAATTGTATACAGCCCATAAAGCATTTAGTGTCATTATTAGAATTAAAAGCTGTATTTATCATAAACATACATATACAAAAACCTGTGTGTAAATGTACAAACACAGAGATAATATGATTCTCGGGGGAGTGTAAATGTTAAAAACTATTATATTTTACTTTATACACACTTGAGTTGTTTGAATTTTTTTAATCCTTACCCGAAGATACATTTATTGATTTCAGAGAGATAGGAAGGGAGAGGAAGAGGAAGAAGGAGAGAAATGGGGAGAGAGACAGAGAGAGAAACATCAACTGGCTGCCTCCCATGGGTGCTGACTTGAAATCAAACCCACAACCTAGGCATGTGCCCTGGTGGGGAATGGAGTCCATAACCCTTTGGTGTATGGGACAACACTCCAACTAACTGAGACACCCAGCCAGGGCAAATTCTTTAAATTTTAAAAAATAGTATCTTCATGGACAACAAGTGTGGTGATTGCGGTGGGTGGGGAGGAAAAGAGGCCAGGGTATAAAAGGACTAAATGGTAGTGGAAAAAAAATACAATAAAAAAACCTCAAGCCCTGGCTTGTGTGGCTCAGTGGATTGAGTGACAGCCTGCAAACCAAAGGGTGGCTTGTTTGAGTCCCAGTCAGGGCACATACCTCGGTTGTGGGACAGGTCCCCAGTAAAGGGGTATGAGAGAAGCAACCACACATTGATGTTTCTCTCCCTATCTTTCTCCCTCCCTTCCCCTCTCTCTAAAAATAAATAAATAAAATCTTTTTAAAAACTCGAGAAAAAATAAAAAATATCTTGTAATTTAAAAATATGAAAGAAAATAAAAGTTATCAAAGTAGCTGAGTATGAAAGGAACAGAATCAATGTTTAACTTAATCCTCAAAATATGATAGTATAAAATCACCATTTATAACATACACATTTGATCTTAAGATGCATCTATACACATCATTTTTTAATCAACTTTATGACTGCTCCATTAGAAATAAGCTGTCTATAAATCATTTAAAAGGGCAATCGGATGGCATGTAAAGTATAACTATATGCATTAACTACTATCTGGAGTTGAAACTATCCTCCATTCAATATTTGAAGAAAAAAAGTCAAGATGCAATAATGATATTCAGACCCAGTGTCATTTAAAATGTAAGTGTTGGAACCCGAACTGTAAATCTGGAAAATCTTAAGGCAGTTATATCATCAAGGGACACTATGAAATTACAAAATATTGTGCACTTTAAAAATGTCTATTAGCCATAGCCAAGTGGCTCGGTTGGTTGGAGCATCATCCAGTGCACCAACAAGACTGGGATTTGATCCCTGAAATGGTGCACTTATGGGAGGTACCCAATAGATGTTTTCTCTCTCACATCAATGTTTCTCTCTCTCTCTCTCTCTCTCCCCTTTCCTCTCTAAAATCGATAAAATATATTTCAGGTGAGGATTTAAAAAAATGCATTTAAAAAATTCATAGTTTTTTTCTTCAGGAAAATAAAAAGTACACAAAAATGAAATAAGTTGCTCAACTCCTAAAAGGTCACTAAACTTTGTAGTGAATGGGATAAATACCACAAGTAGTCTAATTCCTTTAAAGCAATTCCAAATGACAAATTCTGTTTTTCACAAACCTGTCCTTATTTCTTGAAAAAGAAAATTAACTAGAAACTTAGTAGAATACAATATTAAGAAAAAATAAGTTAGCCTAGTATTTGTGGTGATGTACCATCTCTCGTCTCTACCACAAAAGAAAATGCACAAAAAACTCGTCTACAAGAAAACTTAATAATATCTTGTAATACTAGTGGTTAAAGGCAGTCCAATACTATATAAGTAATATTATAGTCTGCAAAAATTGTTCAATAACCTCCAAGTGGACTGGATAAAGTGAATTAAAATGTGAAATATTTACAGGGAAAACATAATTTCATTTTAAAACTAGCATCATAAGATTCCAAGTGACTAATTCCATGAATTGTTTATTATACTGAGCAAAGATTCATGTACTTACTTCAGGTTTGCTGATATAAGTAAATAATATAAATTCTATTTAATAAATATTCTGCTTAAAAATAATGAAAGGAAAAGCACATGTCCCTGACTACCAAGCAGCCAGCCTATTTAATGAAAATATAAAAGCTATATATGAAAATGAAAGAAAAAGCACATGTCCCTGACTATCAAGTATCCAGCCTATTTGATGAAGATGTAAAAGCTATATAATGAAAATGAAAGAAAAAGCACATGTCCCTGACTATCAAGCATCCAGTCTATTTAATGAAGATATAAAAGCTATATAATGAAAATGAAAGCTATGCAAGTATAGGAAGCCCTCAGTTGGAATCCTACAGGTAAATTTATGGAAGTCAACGAGTGTCTCTTCATCTTTGTATCTCTAACTCATAGCAGAAATTCATTTTGCTGAAATAATCTGCATTAACTCATTCAGCAAGCATTTTCATTCCACCTATTGAGTGTCAGGCCCTGTACTAGGTGATAGGGTTTCATAGGTAAGTAAAACAGGCTACTGTCATTGCTTTTGTGGTGTTCATAATACAGTGGGTGAGGTGTATGTGAATAAGTAAATGAACAAATAAGATAATGAAAAACTGCAATAGATCCTATGACAGAAATGAAGCGTATACAAATAATACAGGGTACTTGCTTAAGAGTGGTTAGCAAAGGTTTCTTAAACTCTTTATTAGATAAGGTGACCAGGAGGAGAAGCCTCTCTTAAAGAGCTGGTATTAAAGCCTAAACCTAGATGAGAAGGAGCTAGCTATTTGAACAGCATAAAGCTTAATAAGCTATTTTTTGAAATAATATCAGTAGTTTAGGTCACATTTGATAATTCACAAAATAATTTCTGCATGTTGAAACTTCCAATTTTCTAAATAAGCCTTGTCATTTTCCAGCTCAGTCCAATCTAAACATCAATAGTTTCCCAGCACTCTTTACATAAGGTGTGTGTATATAAGTGTTCCCAAGTTGACATTCTTACAAACACCACTTTTTATTAAAAGTATCTTTACAGTACAGTTATAAGAGAGTTAGAGGTAGAAAACTAATACTTGTGGAGATACTAATACAAGCCAGGCACTGTCCTAAGTACTTTAAAGCAGAAAGTCTCTCAAGTGCTACCACTATAAAATAGGCAAAACATTCTTTTTATGCTCAAATTTTGTGTCTGGAGCGGAAGGAGAAAACAAATCTGTGGTTTGTAAGGGCAGCAGCGTAAATGTTAGAAGTGAAGATGGAAGGGACCATAACAGCAAGGTATTATCTTGGTAAACTCATTGCAATCAACAGTCTGTTAATCAAATATTCACGTTCAGAAACCTCAAATAAAAATAAAAAAGTTACTAATTATAAACCAGAATTATATTGTACTAATTTTGTTATTAAATATATGCTGACTGGACTTTTAGACTACTGATCATAACCTCACCCATGCCATACAATCCTTACCTGCACTCTTAACTGTACATCAACATTTATATCAGGAAGCTAAATAAGTGCCTGGAATTAATGTTTGATGAATATATACTCAGTAAAGGGATACAGATCTTTCAGCGAGGCCATGGTGGGGACTGACCACCTATTCTTGCCCCTCAAGAGACTACCTTCATGGTTAGTAGAATTTTCGTGAACCACAGATGATGTATCTTTTTCCCCTTGTACAGGAGTGTATAACTGTGCTTTTCAACTTTTTCAATGTTCAATGCTGACCATCCATTTCATTTCTGCTGGCAAAGCCTTTGTTTAGATATGTTAATGTCATCTGTTTAATTCAATCAAAAACATTTCAAAGTGCCTGTGATGGGCTGGGAACTATAATAGGTGCTGAGCATCCAAGGTTAGTTCTCATGTGAGCCACGTTTTCAAGAGTTCATCTCCTAATTAGCAAGACCTTCTCTTTCCTATTTTTGACCCAGGAGATTGTGTGTTTTTTAAAGTGCCTTCTGCATATATCTAATTTTATCCATTCTAATGTCAATTAATTTTAGAGTTCTAGAAGGAATATGAATATACTTTTACCCTACCATAAGGGGTATTTTGTAGAGGAGGCACTGGGAGCTAAGCAGTTTACTTGAAATCACTAAGTTAATAAGTAGTGGAGCCAAGATGGAAACTCTAGGTCTTTCAGACTCTAAAAATCACACAATATTTCCTCTATTCCATGCAGTCTCTAAGAACTAAAAACTCTGTGACAGAAAATACATAAAGTGCCTACTACATTTCCTCACATATTCCCCCATTCAATGACTATGTCTGCCAAAATAAAATCAGCAATATCAAGTAACAAACTTTTACAGGGCTTTTAAAATTCCTATTAACTAGTAGGCCCCCTAATTTAACAAGTCAACAATAAATAATCTTCATTTTGGAAGTTAAAGGCTCAATTCGCTGATATTTAGTACCCTTGGAAAACTGAATCAAAACTCAGATCACTTTTCTAGTTGAAAGCTCTAATCTCAGTGAAAATAAAGCCCTTCTATATGTAATATATCTAAATTTTACTTTAAGCCTTAATATGTTACTATGTAAAACACATTAACAGTGATTTACAAACATAAATTAAGCAAATAAAAAAGTAAAAAGTACACCAATGGATCATATCTCAACTCATCTACAGCTTTAAGTTACATTTTCTGTTGATAATATATTTTCCTTTAATTTATGCTGAATTACTAAAAAGAAATGCTTCTTAACCAATTCCATTAATAACTACCTATTTTTCGTGTTTCTCATGAGTTATAATAGTTCTTTCCAATTGATGGTAAAGAGTCATTGAGTAAGGATATTACTTGAACAGAAATCCTAATGTACAAATAAGAAAAATATGATGAGCTGGGAAAGGGAGAACAGGAAATGGGAGGAGAAAGACTATTACATGGGAGCACTGTAGGAATAAAAACACCAGAAACTGCAATTCATCAAACAGGAAGTCCTGAAATCATATGACATGCAGGAAAATAAAATTTAAAAGTAAATGAAAAAGGGAAAGAAAGGTGGGCGGGCTCAATAGAGCCAAAAGAGGGGGGAATGAAAAAAGCTTTAAATAGATACATTACAAACCTATTTAAAAGAATACATTATTTGGGTGAACGCACAATATCACATAAGAGATGATGTATTATAGAACTGTTTACCTGAAACCTATATAATTTTATCAACCAATGCCACCCCAATAAATTCAATAAGAATTTTTTAGAAAAGTTATATATAATCTTGTGATAGTTAAGGGGTTACTTTCACTTTCTCACTTATCTTTTCTTAATATTTACTCAGTAGAGAATCACAGTAACTTCTAGCCACTAAGTGTCAAAAAGCTAAAGAAAATAATTTTCTGCTAAAATAACTTTTATGATAACCAGTTTTTTCACAAAAACAGAAAAGTATATTATATTCACAATTAGGTTAAGAAATATCATTGATCTTACCCATTAATGTTGCTAAAAGACACAAGGAGTACATTTCTTTGTCAGCTTGCTCCTGAAGTTCCTTAGATGACAGTTTACCAGTAGCAGCAATCTCTTCTTGTTTCACAGCATGGGCTGAGTGTGCTGCAGCAGACTGACCACCTTCTGCTTTACCTTTTAGAATCTCTATTGTAATTCTGTCACCATGCTGTAAAGGCACTGGCTCCTTTTCCATTCCTGCCTGGGGTGGCATTAATTCTTTAGGTGGAAAGCCATATCGAATACACTGTAAATATGGAGGAATGTTGAATTCTCTGGCTATGCTTTCCTGAAGTTCAAAAAATGTTGTTGAAGACTTAAGTGTAACCATGGACTGTCGTCCATCATTAGTTGTTATTCGGATCTTCTTCTCTTTAGAAGTTGTTGGTGAGTAAAGAGACTTGGTCGGGGTAGCAGGTGCAGAAGATGGACCATCACGAATGGCACTGGGAGAAACAGTCCTGGGCTGGCCTTTTTGTTCTTGTTTTAACTTCTCTGTTTTCCGTTTCTGCATTACAGAAGCTTGTTCTGTAATATTCTGTTGAATAATTCTTTCAGTTTTACTCATGTTTAACTCTTCCTTGTGCAAGGTTTTTGTTTTCTGTCCAGTGAGAATAATTTTAGTTGGGAGCTGAGACTCTGACTCTTGTCCTTGTACATCTCCAACTCTTTGTGCATGAGCACCATCTATGTTTACAGGAGTATAATCATCAGGATTCTTTTTGGCAGTCTGATGCAATATAGTGTGGACAACTTTCTGAACCAGAATTTCACTCCCAAATTCACCAGGAAAGTGCTTGGTAACAAGTTTCATTGCAACATCGTAAACATTACTATTCAAAGATGAATCACTTTCATATTGGAACCAATAAACTGTTTCTCTGACCACTCTGCCACCCCATTCCAAAGTAATAGGAAAAGCTTCTGGTAGATTGTCATACTCCTTACCATCCCAAAAATGTTTGAATCCACAACCACATTTGCCACCAGTGGACCTAGAATTAGTTCTGTCCCCATCCAAATATACAATAGACCCATCTCCTCTGACCCGTCGCACAGACGTGCCATGGCACCAATTACAAGCTGTTAGGTTACTCAATCCATAGTCTGGTACCAGAACATCTTTCACTGAATCATATGAGCAAACCAAATTGTTCAAGGGAAAGCTATAATTTTTGTCAGGTCTCAGCTGTCCATGAGTACTTTTTGCCAGGTTATACAGTTTCCCTCCTGGAGCCAACCACTCTGGAGGAACGTGAAGTTCAGAAAGGGCACCACAGAGCAAACATTTGTGAAGACGATTATCCATAACTGCTTTTTTAGCAGCTGCTGTCACTTCTTCAGGCTGAACTCCTATCACCCCAGTCCTCCTGTAGAAATACTGATGGACATCAGCAACCAAACTAGGGTGGATACCGTGTTTGTCCATAAAGACTTCTTCCATAGCAGCAACAAGCCTAAGCAAGTACTTATCCTGCAGACTTCTGTCTCCTCCAATAACACAACCACCATCCTCCTCAAGTTTGATGTACTTTTTAATAAGGTCCTGAGGCACACCCCATGCTTTAGGAAGCAAATTCATAGGCAGTTTGGGCAAAGCAGCCCCCTTTATGCCTACCAAGGGGATATAATGGTTTCTACCAGAGCTACTCCATGCAATACAGATTGGTTTGTTCAAATGACCATCCTTCCCAGTGCACTTCTCTGCAGGGATGAGCCCAGGCAGAAAGGTAGCTGAATAATCACCGGAGCTTCTCATGCCACTGAGAGAATCTAACAGAATAATAGGGCGATGTAACACATTGGCAAGGCCAAATATGTGGATGTTCCTCAGACCCAAGGGAACACCCTCCGGTGGTACAAACATAGGGTCACACTCATTGATAATGTCTTCCCATTCAGCAGCATCAATGAAGTCATGGAACAGGGCTTGATATCTGGCCAGGTGCTGCTGAAAGTGCTGTTTCAGATTCTCTCTCAAGGCATGCCAGAAGAGCTCCCGGCCTACTAGAGCCCGGGACACAGCATGCACCAGGCAATGTCCATCCCCATCCACATGCACTGGAATGAGGCATTCCTGACTTTTATTGGCCCGCTTGATGTCCTCAAGAGTGTCATGCAAATATAGGAGGCTTCCGGAGCGGTCCTTGCCATAGCCCACGGTGTTAACATGCTCTGGTTCGATGAGGAAGGCGCGGTCACCCAGTAACGCGCAATCGAACACTTCGCCCTGGTTCATGTCCCGAAGAAGCTTAGCCCGGCCCGTCTGTTTGTCCATTCCATAGCGAGCTAATATGGGCGACAACAATTTGCAGTGGTAGTTGGAAAGGCCCATCACCTTTACCAGTTCCGTGGTCTTCTTGGGTGCTCCTGTAACCCCCAACAGCGCGTTCCGCAGCAGATTGTGTAGCACTACGTCCGGGTCGGTCACCTCCTCCACCCCCAGCAGCTGTTGTTGCTCGTGCCGCTGTCCGCACTCGGTACACTCGATGCTGACGGAACCAGAGGCCGGGAAGAACAGACGCGCCTGGCACTTCGGATCTGGGCAGCTCCCAGAGAGGATTCTCCGGTCTCTCCGCTTGGAGAGCACCCCTGGAGCAGCAGCCGCCGCTGCCGTCAGAGACGATGGAGTCTGCGGAGCCTCAGGCGGAGGAGGTGGCGGCGGCAGCGGAGGCGGCGGCGGCGGCTGAGACATAGCGCTCGGGTCTTGTGTCTCGCTCCGCGTCCCAAGCGACCCTCAATGGCTCATACCCCAGACCTCCACCGGCTCAACTCGGTCTAGCCCAGGCCCAGGGCGACTCACTTTCCTTTCCCTACTAGCTCCTCCTCCTCTTAAGCGAAGGCGGAAGCACCAGACGTTGTTTCTCTTCTTACTTCTCCACTGCCGTAGCCGTTGCCCCGAACGTAACGGCCACCACCCTACCCCGCACTCACACTCACTCACTCTCGCTCTCTCGCTCAAGACACACACAGACATACACGCCCTCAGTGAGATTGCGCAGGCGCAGCTTCCGCTCTTCCCTCTGGGAATTAGAGTCTTCCAGCCTCTTTCTTGGCCATCAAATGCTAGGATTTTAAGTCCTGCAAGAACTACATGTACCGTGAGGTCTGGAGGTTCAGCCGCCGCCGAGAGGAGGAAGAGGAAGTTGGTAGGAAACGGGCCTGACGTGAAACTAGTCACTCACTTTGCCTGCCGGGAATTGTAGTTTAATATGGATCGGTTTTACCTCATTCCCCACTTGGGGACCCAGGCAAAAGAATGTGAAAGACCACCTCTCCTAGGATGCACTGCGGTGCGTCCAGCTTCACTTCCTTCTTAGGCGGAGGGGAGGATACTGGGAAGCTTGTTTGGTAAAAGGAGAGTTAAAGGGGATGGTGATCGGAAATAGAGGTTTGGAGTTCATGACTTCTCTAGAAGGAGGGGAGGGAGATGAAAGGCTCCGTCCCGGTGAAGAAGGTACGGTAAATAAATGGCCAGTGATATGGCGGGCGGGGAAGTTGAGTGAAATGGTCTTTCTTAGGCTAGCGGTCATAATAGAAAAAGGGGAAAATGAGGGAATTGATTCTCGGAGTGATTCTTAAAGTCTTTCCTCCCGCCCCACGCGCCGCCACACTTTAATTCTCATTCTTCCCGCTAGTTCAAATCACTGAGGCGCCCAAGCTCAATTTTCTGCCTTTTTTCACTACTTCGTGTCGTTAACGCGCCATTTGTTTCCTCCTTGCCTGTACGTCTCAGCAGTTTACAGTACTACAAATAATACCTCCTTTCCTCGCATAACAGCCGTCATTAAGTTCTTAATATAGCGTTTCCATACACGGTATCATTTTGCTCTATATAATCTTGTTAGGGAATATATTCAGAAAGGAAATGACTTGCCCAAGTTCACAGTCAGTAGGTAACTGGATAGGTACAAACCTAGATATGTACCCATTTTACAGACAAGGACATAAGCAGGAAAGGTTAAGCCAGTATTAATAAAATAATAGCTAATTTCTGGTTACTGTTTTAAGTTGTTGATAAAGAACATCTAGCCTAAGAAAAAGTCTTACAAGAATTTGAGCCAAATTGACACAATTGCTAGGAAACAAAATCTCAACGAATTGAAAAGTGTTCCAGGGAATAGTAGTTTTGCAGCTCATCTTAACATTAAAATCAAAAGAAGAGATGCAAGGAAGGTTATGTGCAGTTCCTTGGTGAAAATCTCTGAGATTGGAAGTAAGAAGAGACACACCATCTCTTAGGAATTTTTACATTCTGACCACCCTCTGTGGTTACTTTGATCTCTGGGTTTGTAAGACCCGCCACGCAGGCCTCCCTTGAGCTTGTCAAGTTTAGTATGTGGCTTCTTTCCAACCACATAATGTGCTTAATATGTTAGCATATATCATGCGATCCTCACACCAGTCCTGTGATACCTTTACCAGGTGTATAGTTGACTCCATTTACAGAAAAAAGACTAGAAAGAATTAAATGACTTGTCCAAGGTCAAATCACCAGTGTATCTCAGAGAAAAAGAATGCTTTTTACAGTACTTTCTCTACAAAAGTAAAAAAGAACTGTTAAGGTTAGATCTTTTGTTACGCCTCAGGGTCTCCTCTTAGTGACTTGAGGGGTTATAAGAACACTTACCCCGTAAGAAGGTGAAAGCTTTATTTTATTTCTTGTGTGCTAGGAAATTACCTTTTCAGGCAAAACACACTCATATGTTAATTAAAAGCTAGTATTATTTAAATTACTGTACAGTCAGTCCCTTTCACTTATCATTCTGGAAATTCTTGCTTTCAAAACCTTATGTACCACCCATGGACAAGACCTAAAGGGAGCTGGGAATGTGGGTGGGAGGCAGAGGGATAAAGGGGGGGAAATGGGACAACTGTAATAGCATAATCAATAAAATATATTTTTAAAAATACCTTAGATAAGTGAACTTCCTGAAATTTCTGAAACACTTGGCACAAAATAGATAACATCATTGCAGTCCATAAGGTCTTTTGTGTCATCTGTAGCTGCCAAGGGAACTGTTTACCTGGTTATGTTTTTTGTAGAATTTGATGCTTGAAAGGAACCATCTGTAAGATAGATACTCCTAAAGAGTTTTAGTACTGAGTTTTGCCTAATTATTGTCTGTAATTTTCTTCAAAAGAATTATGTTTGGAAGAGAAATCCTTCAAAGGTTATTTTCTTGCCCACTCCTACTTTACCCAGGCAAAAATGATGTTACCTTCAAACAAGGTAAGATAATGGTACTTACCTTGAAGAGGATAATTTATGCAGGAAACGTTGTTTATATGTGTTTTGACAATAGCTGGGTCTTGTAATTGATTTTTAATTGAGTGTTTAGAAGTTGAGTAATTGGATATGCCCTTTAAATGGAAATTTTCTTCCATGACTGAGAAGTTACGCCTGCAGTGAGATTTTATTTTTCTCATACGGAATTCAAAGAATCGAATTATGAAAGCCTTGGAGCATGTGGAAGCTGATGGCAGTATGCAGCTCTAACACTGTCAGGCAGGCACTTTTATGTCTTAACCTCACCAAGACAAATTTTCCTGATTGGTGATACATATGAACAATGAAATAGATTTTTTAAATCACACTTGAATATGTCATTCTGAATCGTACTTTGACAGAATAACCAGATCCCACCCTCCTGAAGAAACGGTCAGCCTTTCTCTGCCCTGCCTACCACAGTCCACTCTGTGGATCTAGTGCTCATTTCCCTACATGGAACTGTGATTAGTTAGAAACATTCTTCCCACACTAAGTTTAATATTTAAACCCATTTGTTACTGTAGTTCTTCTACTTTTATGAATTATACTTTTGAAAGAAAAAATAAAAATACCCTGGTATAAAGCATAGTTAATGAGGGACAAGAGAGGAGGTAAGTTTTCAAGCAATTCTGGAATTAAATTACATTATTTAACCTGAAAGTCACTTAGTTAATGAATCTGTAGATGCAGCCAAAGTTCAGAGAGTAAGAAATGGACAATGATATTAACCGCGCTAAATTCAACTTGCCAATTCTTACATGCACTTAGAAGGCATATATGCCTATATAGTAAGACAAAGAAATTTCGTTAGGGCAAAATATGACATACTGTTTCTTAGAAGGCCATAGGAATGCTGAAAGCTTCTAATCTACTTACATGAGGTAAACATGCTTCATTCTTCTTCCTCCAAAATTCCATGATCTTAATTGCCTAGTAACTTTCATAAGGTCTTTGTGGATTATGTAATAGTCCTTTTTCTTGTCTCAGTATTCCAGATGGGAAAAATGAGCTGGGCACCTCATGTCAGCTGCTCTGATACATAACTCTTCTACCACCATTAATTACCCTAGCATCACTTGCATCTGAATGGCAAAAATTTAGTTAAAACTGAAATTCACATTTTTTCCAGAATTTCTAGTATGGTGCTTCTCAACTTCCTGGATGGCTTTTAGCAAACCTGGTAAGTGTAAAGTCAAGGGCATCTATTTAAAATAAAAACGAAAGGTATCCACTTCACAACAGAAAAAAATCATCATTGTTTTTTCTCTTTCATATTGGGGATTGTTTAAAGTCAGATACAGTCTTTCCCCTACAGAAATATACATCTGTATTAAGAGTTGACTGTGTTACTCCAGATCTCTACCCCTGCCAGTCAGATGTCTGGTGGCAAGCTTTTGTTGAAACTTAGAGTGGAGAGACTTAATTACTGCAGTAGACGTTATAGGAACTTAAGGGGAAGCAAAAGGCCATCTGTATCCTAAAGGAGCTCACAGTCTAATAGAAGAAATAACCTGATCTAAACTGTTCATAAATCCAAGTAGAATAAAGCATATTATCATTTAAAACAATACAGGCAAATAAATATCAGAAATCCTATGAAAATGTATTGAGGGCTTTTATAAGTATACTATCTTTTTTAAATTTTTAAAAATTTACAGAAGGGAAGGGAAGGAGAGAGGGAGAGAAATATCAATGTATGGTTGCCTCTTGTGCATGCCCTGCTGGGAACTGGCCTGCAACCCAGGCATGTGCCCTGATGAGATCTTCTGGTTCACAGGCCCAAGCTCAATCCACTGAGCTACACCAGCCAGGGCTATAAGTATATTATCTTAATCTTTAAAACAATCCAGTGAGATAGCATTGTCTTTATGCAGATGAGAAGATGTAACACTGAAAGGTTAACTTTATTGTCATTACTACCACCCAGCGAGCAAGAAGCAGAACTGGGCTTCAGATCAAGATTTTCTTCCATGTTCAGTTCTCACTCTTTCCATTACCTCACAACTGCTTAGTGATTTGAGACAGAATTAGCCAAAAAAGTGAGTGTAAACTGTTGGCCAATATCTAAATTTGGTTTACATGCATTTTTGTTTGGCCATTGGCAGTTTAACTTTTTTTTTTAATGTGAACATCTTTGGGCAGTGGCCAGCACCTTACTCTTTAAGGTTGTACACCAGGCCCCCTTGACACAAATGACTTGCCTGACTCCAAAAAGCATTTGTGCTTTCTATATCAGGCAGTAACTGGGGACAGAGAAGAGCTTTTCTCTAAAGTATTGGTATCATGGAGAACTTATATGCAAGGGTTGGAAAGAGGAATTTTATAAACAAGATTATAGAGAGTATTTGAAGAAGAAAGATTGGAAGTATTTATTATTATATAAAGATGAGAGAGGTCAAGTATTGTACAAAGTAGAAGTTATGACTTAACATGGTAGTTCTCAAACTTTAGTAAGCATCAAAATCAAATGTAAAGCTAAAATCAGTTGCTGGGTTCCACCCCAGATTGAGTGCTTTTGGAGTGAAGCCTGAGAATTTGTTTTTCTAACAAGTTTTCTTGTACTGCTGGTGTTGGTCCAAGTTACACTTTGAAAATCACTGCTTATCAGACCGTAGGGCACTTCGGGAGAAGGGCTTAAGCCAAGGTTTTCCTTCTGTGTTTCTGTTGTTTTAAGTACAAAAGGAATTGCTTGATGTAGAATGTTTAGAAAATTAAATTAGTCCGTTATCAATTAGAGGTTATAGTTTTTAATTTTTTATAGATTTTTTTAGTTTCTTTTTTTCTAAAAAAGTGTAGTTTAAAAACCCAAAGTTATATCATAATCATCACAGCTATTGACACTTATTTGGGCATCTACTATGTACCAGGGTCTTTACATATATTTACTTAATCCTTATAATATCCCTATGAGCCTGGTAATATTATCATCATTCTTATTTTACAGACGATAAAACTGATGCACAGTGGGGTTAAGTAACTTGCTCAGTGTTTCACTGCTGGTAAGTAGCATAATTAATATTAAAATCTGGGCAGTCTGGCCCCAGAGCCTGTATGCTTAACTATTATGCTATACTGATTCTTAGGCTATACTATAGTGTATACTAGTTTTAACCTATATTGTTTAATCACATCATGAACAATCTTGATAACTTAAATATTTTTGTCCAGCATTTGAAAGCCTGCTTTTTCTTTCTTTCAGAGGCATTCCTTGTTTTCTTGCATTTCGTTTTATTGTGTTTCCCAGATACTGCATTTTTACAAATTGAAGGTTTGTGGCAACCCTGCATCAGAGTGAATTTCTGGCTCCATTCTCTAACAGCATTTGCTCACTTTGTGTCTCTGTGTCCATTCCTGGTGAAGATGCTGTGAAGATTGTTGAAATGACAAACAAAGGATTTGTAATATTGCATAACTTTGTTGATAAAGCAGCAGCATTATTTGAGAGGACTGACTCCAGTTTTGAAAGAGGTTTTCCTGTGGGTAAAGTGCTACCAAACAGCATTGCATGCTACAGAGAAATCATCTATGAAAGGAGGAGTCAGTGCAGCATATTTCACTGTTGTCTTTTAAGAAATTTCCACAACCACTCCAACGTTCAACATTGATCAGTCAGCAGCCATCAACTTTGAGGCAAGACCCTCCACCAGCAACAAGAATCTAACTCACTGAAGGCTCAGATAATGCTTAGCATTTTTTAGCAATAAAGTATTTTTAAATTAAGGTATGTATGTTTTTAGATCTAATACCACTGCATACTTACAAACAATAGTATATTATAAACATAACTTATATGCACTGGGAAACCAAACAATTCATTTGACTTGCTTTATTGAAATATTTGCTTTATTGTAATGGTTTGGAAGTGAACCCACAGTATCTCTCAGATATGTCTGTAATATATTTCAAACATTCAAAGTGTACAACAAAATAATATTTGAAATATTCATGCCCCCACTACTTGGTTTAACAACTGTTAATACTTTAGCATGTTTGCTTGAGAACTCCCCTTCCAAAAAAAACAGAAACAGATTTAGTAAGACTACAATTTTGAGGTTTAATTTTACTTAAAATTGTGCCTTATAAAGGAAATTACCATTTCCCTAAAGAAAAAAAACTTGGATATTCATTAAACTGAATAATGGAGGAAGAATTTCCATGTACTGAACAACTCCATAATTACTGTTGCCATTCTAATGCTATGTCAGTGAACACTCCTCCTCCTTCCACACCCATAAGCTTAATTAATTACTTAGTGATAAGTGTAATAAACACAGTAACATAAAGCTAGGTAATGTGACTTTGTATGGCCTACTTAGTTTTGATGCTGCTTGGCCCAACTCCATGTAGTGAAGGTCAAATTCTACCAGGGTAGCACGTGAGCATTGCCCAATAGAACTGTCTGCACTGATGTAAGATCCTATACATGTCCTGTCCAATATGATAGCCACTAGCCACATGTGGCTGTTAGGCACTTGAAATGTGGCTGGTGCAACTGAGAAACTGAACTGTATATTGTATTTAAATTTAAGTAGCCACGTGAGGATAAAGGCTACCATATTAGCACAGATCTGAGTCCTCAAAGTCCACATTATTAAAATGAATGATGTGAGTCCTGGCTCTGATAGGGCATTAGTGGATGGGGACTGACTGCAAAAGGAAACAGGAACTTTTGGGGATGGTGGAAATTTTCTTTATCTTGATTATAGTGATGGTGACATGGATATATATGTTTCCTAAAACTCATCCTGCACTCTTAAAGCGGGTGTGTTTGATGTAGGTAAATTATATGTAAATAAAGGTGATTTTACAAAGTGAAAGAAAAAAGTTGAGTTTTAGAGACAGTAGTTTCACCTCATGTATATCTAAAGCATGCCTTCTGCCATTCCATTTTTTTTTCTTATAATCACCAAAATCATGAGTACGTTACCATCTCTGTGTGACCTGGCGCCGACTACTTTTCTGACATTATTTTCTGACTGTCCTTCAGCCACACTGGCCTCCTGATTGATCCTCAAACACTCCAAGTACATTCTTGTTTCAAGGCATTTGAACTTGTTCTTCTGCTGCTTGGAAAACTCTTCCCCAAGTATTCATTTTGGTGTCTGCTCAGATGTCAGACAGTGATGCCATTCCTTCCAGCCTTTTTAAAACAGTACCTCAGTCCTTTCAAAACTCTCTTTACCCTAATCCTGCTCACTTTCTTTGTAGCACTAATTACTATCTCAGATTGCATGACTACTTGTCTATTGTCCTCCTTCCCCATTAGACTGTAAGGCTGTTCATCAGGGCAGGGAGTTTGTTGATTGTTGGATTCTCTGTGCCAGGCACATAGTAGCCTCAATAAATGTTGTTAAATGAGTGAATGAATGAATGACTCTCATCCATGGCAGTGTTTGTCAGCCTGAGTTTATAGAAAATCCACAAATTCCCAGCAAAATTAAAATGTGTGATGTTATTTTGATACTAATTTAAAACAATGATATTATTTATGATTTTCCAGATGAACACCTTAAAACATGAAGTTTTGAGTGCATGAATTTACATTGGGTTTAGGATTTTGCTTGTATCAAATGAAAGCTAAAGTACATCAACACAATGCATGGATAAAGATTTCACTGTAATTTTGGTAGAATATTGAGTCATCACATGTTACAAAGTAGCCTTGACATGCCAGATTCAAAAGAACCAGCACTTCAGTGCCACATCCAGTTAGAAACAGAAATTGCACAGTATTCACATGCATACATATGCTTATACTCACAACCACTTAGTAGCTGTAAGAGAACTACTAATACTCAGTAATTATTTTTTTGGTTCTCAGCAATAATTAGAGTAGGTACTATATAATTCAGATTTCAAGTACTCAAAAGTACCCTTTTAAAAAATATTTTACTTGTTTTTTTAAAAGGTTTTATTTATGTTTAGTGAGAAGGGATGGGAGGGAGAAAGAAAGGTAGAGAAACATCGATCAGTTTCCTACTATGGGCAAGACACCAAACACCCACACCTTTCTGGGTTGAACCTATGACTTTGACTTTACAGGATGACATCCAACCAACTGAGCCACATAGAGCAAGGTAATACTAATCCTATCTTATGGTGAATAAGACTACTTGACAGAGTTATCAAGTGATAATTAAAATCAGTATTCTGGGATTTTAGAGCACCAGAATTTTTACTAAAATATAAGACCCGATTATCAAGAACTAGTAGCAAAAAAACCTGGAAGTTATTAATACAGCATATTCAAACAGGTTATCATTTGCATTGACATTATTAAACATACAGAGACACATTTAATATAGATCAGAAGTTAAATCTTACTGCTCATAAACCTAACATTTTACAATTCAAATTAACATTAATTTTAAATGGCTGGACCAAATAACCACTATCTTGGAGGAAGAGAATACTTATTACTGCAGTTTTATTACTTTTGCCTCTTCTTTTTCTTTTCCCTTAATTTAGAACCCAAGGGTTACTTTTGGGGTGAAAGAAAATAAAATTGAAGAATTCACCAAAAGCTGTTGTATCTTTACAAGTTTGAGTTTCTGTAGAATGGCGTAATCTGTCTTTCTGGATGTTCTAGCTCTATCTCAAAAAGAGTCTAATTCAGTTCCTTTCATGAGTACGACATAAAAAGTCAGAACAAGTTATACCTGGCACATTTTCCATATGTATAGTTTCTTAAGACATATTTTAATTGGTGAAAGCAGAGCATACATTTTTAGCCCTGTCAATCATTTATGTGTACCTTTCATGGTATTGCAAGATACAAGTACATCATGATGATATACAAAAATTTAAATCCAGGGCAGTCTGCAAGGAGGGGTTTTTATTTAAGTGGGTAGCAATATATTATCATAGGAAATGAAGTGTGTGTGCTAAATGAAAGCGTCGGTACTAGGTGTCAGCACATCTCATCAGAAAGGGCCTGAAGTTGACCATTGGTAAAAACAGCAATAAACGGACAGTACACCTTTCACAAAAACTCCTCTCACTGGCCATTTTCCCATTCAAATACTAGTTATATGTACCCTGGAATTTGCAAAGTTGTGCTCCATGAATTCTATGGATATTAATAGGTATGTTGAGAGACAGGTCCAACAGTCAAATAAGTTTAGGAAGTGACAAACTTGAGTTTAGACCTACAAACCTTTTGTGCTAGTGACATTGTGGCTCTTTCCAAAGAGCAGCAGTGATGGCTTCAGAATGTCTGACAGAGTCTTAGTGTTAGGAGTCTGTCTGCTTGCAGAAAAGATACTGGGATATGTCCTTCAGTTACATTTGTTTGTTTGTCACACTGTTTTACTTAGACTGTGTATTTGGGGGTAATCTGGGGAAGCTGACAGACGTAATGAGGGTGTTTAGTGCCTTAAGCTATCCCTAGTACTATTGTTCGTATGTAGCTCTTCCACACTTTGGCTGCAGAAACATTTTGAATCTGTGTTAGAGGCACACATTTTAAGAAAAACCAACTCAGACAAATAGTATCTATCATGGTCTCTAGTTTTATCAGTGTGCTTAAAAAGGAATTAATGTTTGCCCATATTATTTGGTAGTTTATAGAGGTGTTTTCCATTTAATGTTTTAATCCAGCTGTTATATTTTTGTATATGATGTGAGGGAGATATTTAACTATTAATATGGCAAAATACCATTTGTCCAAGAACCTTGCTTTAAATGTAGTTTTGGTTTTATTTCCAGGTTCAGAACCTTTCAGATCAACTTACCTGTAAGTTCAGTACGTGAAATAGATAAACGCAGTTGAAATCGGTCAAGATAAGAGTTACCTCAACCTGCCAGCATCCCCTGCCCTCATTCCTGGTCTCTGCACAGAGAAGCTCCAGGGGGTACTTTGGAAGCCATTGGAAGAAAATCATTCCCTCATAAATGACTTGAAATGCCACATCTGTAATATGCTACATTAAAATGTTTATTCCAATTATTTTTCTGTTTTCTTCCAATCTCATATTTTAATGTATGGGACCAAAGAACTTTATAATATAAAGAAATTGAAACATCTAATAAGTAAAATAACAACATGAGGTCTTTTGGGGCCCATAAAGTTAGCATATTTCTTTATAATAATATCCATTATTGTCAGGAGTTGACTAAATACTTTCAATATAGGGAAGATTAAGATGGTAAAACTATCTATTGGTCAATAATTTGACAATATGTATCACCAGTTTATAATGTTATTTTTAGTCCACCAGAACAACTAGAATTTAACCCTAAAGAAATAACCAAAAATGTATGGAAACATTTTGGATATTTATAGTATTGAAAATGAACCAGATGTTTAACAGTATGGGACTGATCAAATGAATCCTATACAGCCATAAGACAGTATACACTTCAGTGACCATCATCACCGCTTTCAGTGAGGTAAAAAAAATATACTAAGCACCTTAATTATATTGTCTTATTTTAAGCCTAACAATAATCTATCATATATAGATGATATGCATTATTATTCCCATTTATAAATGAGAAAGCAGAGAAGTTAAGTTCCAGTGGCTAATAAAGTAGTATTGCTATAATTCAGCCCATGTCTGCTCTTAGTCCTTGTTCTTAATCCCTGTCCTAGTGGTATAGGAAAATGTTTATTTTTACTAAGTTATTGTTTTAATACCATTTAACTGACATTAAATAAACATCCTATATGCAATCACTTCTCCCTTTCCAAAGTTATAGATGCTTCATATTCCCTCCCCCCACAAATGAATCTACCTCTATACATTTTAAAATTTCATTTTGGAAGTGTTAAGTCCTTGCTCTAAGAATTTAAACAGTACTGAAGATTATAAAGTACCTTCACCTTTAATCATAAAATGTATCTCTGTATATGATTGGACATCCAGCCCTTGTGGGCTCTGTTTTATGTTCATCAATTCTATCTCTTTTTGCTCTGATGTCAACTTTATAGGCACTGGTTGAGGGTGGAGACAGACCAGAAAAGCAAACTGGGTGGAGATGTATAGATCTGGATGGCTAACTTTCGACACAGAATATATTTCATAGGTGGTGTAGCATGGTGGTTAGAAGCACTAGTTCTGGAGACTGACTGGCTAGATCATGTCCCAGCTTTTAAATTTGGGTAATTTGTCTTGTTGGTGCCTCAGTGTCTTCATAAAATTAAGGTGGTCATTCATTGCACTTACCTCATAAGATTGTGGTGAGGAATAAATTAGTTAATACACATAAAGTACTTGGAACAGTGCCTGGGACATAGTAAGTATTCAATCATTACCTGCAATTGTCAGGATGATGGTGGTGGTGGTGGTGGTGGTGGTGGTGATGATGGTGATGATGGGTGCAGAGACAGGGAGACAAGAAAAATAACATGAGTGCTTACTATGCCATTTACTCACATGGTCTCCCAATTAGATCTCAGAGTTAAATATTTTCATCATTACCTTTTTAGCAGATGAGGAATCTAATATTCAAGGAGGTTACATATGGAAGTAGTAGAGTTATTAGACTCATTTCAAGGATGAAGAACAAGATAAATACTGAAAGCCACCTGGCCAGGAGATAACAAGATACTGTGGAATGAAATGAAAAACAGGCCTGCAGAATCACACCACCCTTTAGGACCAAGGGGGCAGTGTTTTAACATTCAGGACCGGTCACGTGTCCCTCTAGTATCAGAAAACCGTGCTTTGGACATTTAACTGTTTTTATGCTGATGTATTTTCCATTAACATTTTCTGTTTTATTTTCCCTAGTCTGTCCTAAAATTACTTCTGAGTTCTCAGTCTATTTGATTTGTACTTTGAAGGAGCAAAAAGGCAAAAGGAATCTGTGGAGCTTTCAGGAAGAACACGTCAGTCAGACACAGGTGTGCTGGGCTTCAAATGCCAAAAGCTTACAAGGGAAAAGAAATGCAAGGAGGAAAAAAGCCTTTTCCCCAGAGGTTTTTGAGGTATTCTGTGCTCTACCTTTAGAGGATTTTGAACAGTATTTCCTAGAGAATGGCCTTTCACTCATCTGTCCAGCATAATTCATTCCCAAGAATGTTGAGTAAGTGGGATTTTATGGTGTTTGTTTTTGTGACTTTTATAGTCATGGCAATGTGGAAAGAGCATGGACTTTGGAGTCAGACAGACCTGAGGTAAATTTCTAGCTTTGTCACTTAGTAGTTGTGTAATTTTGGCCTAGTGAATAACTTCTCTGGGCTTCATCTATGAAAGAATAATGAAGTCTATGTCATAGAATTGGTATGAAAATGAGATGAGGCAGCAAAAATAAAAGTGAACTATATAAACTCTGGCACACTTTCTCTGCCTCTCCTTTCTCTCTCAGATTGTGGGTTTGGATGAGCAGTTAGCCATGTCTTGTATTTATTTTTATACTTTTCTAGTGCATCCAGAGGAGTGGTCTGTTTACAGTGAGCATCCTATAAATACCGAATGACATTAGCATACATGCACAGAAACTGAATAATGGGTGAACAATTTAATGTGCTTTTTTAACTAAAAATTTTTTTCAATTACAGTTAGCATTCAATATTTTATTAGTTTCAGATATACAGCATAGTGATTAGACTTTTGTATAACTTACAGAGTGATCCACCCAATAAGTCTACTGCCCATGTGACACCATACGTAGTACAATATTATTAACTACATTCCCTACGCTGTACTTTACATCCCTGTGACTATTTTGTAACTGCTAATTTGTACTTCTTAATCCCTTCATCTTTTTCACTCAGTTCCTCTCCCTGTTACATGTGTTTTGGTATTTATCAATCTATTCATTCTGTCACAGAAAAACTGCCAAATGTAGATAACCAAGATGTGGAGTCAGGGCCCAGGCATTGGGTGGCGGTTTCCTGAACCTGGCCACGGGCTGCTGGGCCAAGTGGAGACTAAGCCCTTGGCCCCTTCTGCTGACAGAGCCCCCGAAAGCAACTTGTTTTCAGTTTACTGGAAAGCAGCCTGTGTGGGTGAATGACAGCCTCTTCTCTTCTGACACTGGGGGATTCCTCTTACAAATGATTTGCTGTTCTTGATTTAAGTTTTTTCTTTTTTAATTATGAAATATTTCAAGTGTAAAGAAAATAATGCAACACTCATTTACCCATAAATTGAGATTGCTATAATTGATATGTTTTAACATTTTTCAACTTATCTTCAGACTTTTAGAAAATTGATAATGTATTACAAAGAGTTCCCATACACCCTTCAGTTTCCCAAGTGTTAATATTTTACCGCATTTACTTATCCTGTCTCTCTATATTACATATGCAGATTATTTTTTCTGGACCATGTAAGAGAATTTATTTATTTCCTTCCTTCCTTTTTCTCAAATAAAGCATTTTAGGTAAGGTAAAACTTCTTCGCTTTACCTGTCTCCTATCCCTCCCTGCCTCTTCTGGCCTTTGTTAGGCAACATGCCATCTTACTCGTTGTGGTCCTTTTACTGCATATGGTTAGATCTGTAGCTATTGAACTTTCATTATTTGTTGAGACTTGCTTTATGACCTAGTACATGATCACTTTTACAAATATTCCAGATATTCTTTCTAGAATGTGTACTCTTTAATTCTTTAATAAGCAGCTGTAAGCCACTTAAAACAGTACCTGTCACATTGTACACACCATAATCATAGGATATGTAATTATATATAAGTCCATTAGCTCAAATGTTATCTTTTCCAAATTTTGTATGATTGAGCTCTCAATTTTTAGACAAGTGTGCTAAAATATCTCTGTAATTGTGGATGTATACATATTTGCATGTACTCTGCCAATATTTGCTCCCTGGCATGGGTGTGAGAGATCCCGGTCAGTTGTCCAGATCCCCTTCCCTAATCCTTCGCATTGGTGAGGGCTGTGCTTCATTGCACAGCAGAGAGCTGAGATGGAAGTCAGGGCACTGACTGAGCGGAGAAAGCATCAGAGAGAATGGTAAGTTCATGAATTCGAACATACCAAGAATCACAGTGGGTTGACATCTTTTTGTAAAGTTTTGCTCTGCAACCTAATCATCACTACACTCTGATATTTTTTCCTCTCAAATGCCCTCTGCTCCCTCAACCCTAATTCCTCTGAAGTATAAGCCAACTTTTTGGATAATATTCACCAAATTCCTTCTTTCCAGTATTTTAAAACTAAATCCTAATATGCATATGATATCTGTGGGACTGGAAGGTTGGGAAGAAATACTTCTTAACCTATTCAATAAAAATTGAATATTGTTGGCTGGATAGTGGTAAACAGAATACACCTAGAGAAGAGTGAAGAAAATAGGCACAAAACAAACTCAAAATAAATTGTGGAAATTGCTAAAATAAAACAGAACTGTTTCCATAAGAGAGAAAACAATGGGTGGGGGGCGGTGTACTATGAAGAGGAGTGACCAGCTCAGGGAAGGCTAGGACAGACCTTGGCAACCAAAGAGCTGAAAGAAGCCAGCAAGGTGGGAGCGGCAAGTGGCCCAGAGGAGGCGGAAAAGTCACGGGCTACCTCACATAGGGCTGTAGAAGCTTTTAATTTTATGTTAGAAATTGGAATCCACTGAAGCATTTTAAGCAGAAAATGAGATGACCAGAATTAGGTTTTAAATATAACTCCAGCTAGCAGTTGGAGAGTTACTAGAGAAGATTGAGAGTGGAAGCATGGATGCCATTCAGAGGAATTTTGGCAAATGGAGGTTTGTGGTGACTTCAGGGTACATTTCCCTCTTGGCAAAGAGTTTATTTACTAAAACCACGATGCAAATAAAAGAGACTAACCATCTGTAAGAATTGCACAGTTCATGATCACCCATAACAAGCACTTCATAGCTCCAGAAGGTCTGGAGTTATAACCATAACCCACTCCCAGTTTAAATGTGTGGGTATTTTCTAGAAGTTGTTTAAAATTTTAAGTTCTGTAAAAAGATTATAATAAATTCCCATTACTTTGGCAATTAATTATGATTGTTAAGTTTGCTGAC